GTTGTATTTGAGAATGGCTCACTCCAATTTGATCAATCCTCTTTGATATAGCGGCAATTTGAGATGCCAAAATAGACATTGCATCAGAAGCATGAATACTAGCTACTCTCTTAGGATTTACCCTTTCAGAGGGCCATTGAAAATTATTAGTAGTCATTCTTCAATTAAAAATATGCTTCATCAAAAGTTTTTGACATTAATGAACCACCCGCAACAACATCTATAATAGATCTAAGTGATCATACTAATCCATTGTAAAATGTTTGAATTATTAACAAATTTGGTAAAGCATGGTGCGGACACAAGCTTAATGTGGACATTTCCTAAGAAGTTCTTTAAATCTTTCTCAGGCTTCATATATCGATTCCCCTTCAAACTGACAAAAAGATGTAATATCATTTCTAAGCTTGCAAAAATATAAAATGCACAAAAACATTCCTAATTATTCTCTGATCACTTGGAACCCTTTAAAATATTTTTCCTAATTTTCTAATTTAGTTATGTATTTTTAAATTTCAAAAATGTATTTTTCTTAATTTTTCATTAAAATAATTATAATAATTAAAATAAAAATTATAAAAATGAAAAGTTTATTTTTTTAAGTTTTTTGGATTTAAGAGATTTAAGAATAATATAAAATTTAAAATTTGAAATAAAAATATATTTTCTATTTAGTTAATCACCAAAATCAATAAGTAATTATATAAATTAAATTATAGTTCAAAAAATCATGAAATTTGGTCCAAGGGGTCCTCTAACCTAGGTGAACCTCGAATACTTTTCCTAAGAACAAAAAAATTACATTGGTTAGTTAAATAAATTAACATTGAAAATTCTTATTTTTTGAGCTAAAATAGTTTTTAAAAATTAATTAAAAATTAGTAAATTATAATTTAGAAAAACCACGTTTCTCCTCTAATATTTTAATTGACCGATGAGTGGGGTAGCATAAAAATTTCACAGTCATTTGAGTTCAATTTAATGAGTTATGAAGTGGAGAGACCCTAGTGGCAAAATGGTAATTTTGGGATTTTTATGGCCTAATTAAATTTAAGGATTAATCATAAGGTAAATTGGTAATTTTGATCGTAATAAACTCTCTTGGATGTTTGAAACACGAGGTTTTAAGAGGTAAAAAGCAATTTGTCACCTTTTCACAATAAGGGTAAAATTGTAATTTTCTTAAATTATTGTGACTTGAAGGTTAACCTAATTGGATGATTCTAAGGTAGTGGGCTTTAGTTAGGAAGATAATAATTTAATTATTTGAAGCCTCTAATTGGTGATTAGATGATATGCATGAGCTTTAATGAGAATTGAATTTCATTTAACATTTTGGATTATTGCAAATCTGCCCTGTAGATTGAACTTAAAAGCTTAGTAGTGAATTAGGCTTGATTTGAATTTGTCTATTGAGGTTTAGAAAAGAGGAACATGGTTAACTAATCAATATCTTTAAACACTACAAGCCCAACTTCAATTGTAGGTCTAAGATCCTTAATGACTTGAGCTTGCCCTCAAGAGTATTCATTTACATAACTCTTAAAGAAAACATTAAGTGAATGTCCGAGTACCCCGCTCTTGGGATAATTAAGATATTAAGGTTCATTGAGCACATGTTAGCTTAATCCATTGAATTTTAATTTAACTTCGGATGATTAATTGAACATCATAAAAAGTCCAAATGAACTTGAAATGATTCAAGAAGAGCAAAAGTTGTTTAGGGATATGCCCCGAACACTCGTGATTTTGTTTTAGATATTTTGAAGAATAACTGAACTTATTATTCTTTGCTAAAAAAAATCATCCACTAAAACTTTTAGGGACCCATCAAGTTATTGTCCGGAACCCGATAATTCACCTAAATCAATGAAATGTCCTACACTACATATTCTATATTAATTGACTCAATGCTCAAGGATTTGAGTCTTCTCTAAGGGTGTTTAAATCCTTGTGAGCAACAGAGGATTTTTGTTTTTGCTACATATGGATCATCGGGCTTGTGTCAGTTTGAGGTCTAGGTGGCTAGGGCAATGACAATAATGCTAATGTGTGCTAAAACATAATGCTAATGTGTGCTAAAATGAGGGATACAATATGAGATTTTATAATAGTATCTCCTTCCTCAAGGACCAAAGATAAGAACCAATGATACTATTCGACGACTCTTGGTGAGATGATTGCCCTCAATATTCTTAGGTTGCTTGTAGTCCTAGCTCGATCGAAGTAATTAACCTGTGGACTACACTATTTTGAAAAGTATTTATAAAAACAAATGAAATTTTTTTGGCCTGATAAAATAAAGTCTATATGAATGAAAATTAAGTCTAAATTTTTTATTTTTCTAAAGTATTAAATATATGACTATGAAGTGAGTTGTGTATCGAATTTTTTATCTGTTGTTAAGTGAATTTTTCTTCTAAAATATCAAATATATAAATATGACAATTATATTATAAACAGTATTACTAAACAGGAGGGGCAGAGTATTCATTTGTTCAGAAACATTTGTCACACAACTGTTTTCAATCAACTGAAACAAACAGTCAGACAACTTCCCAACAGCAGCTTCCCCGCAGCAGATTTCTAGGGCTGCTAAGTTGCAGCTGCCCCAAATAAATCCTAAGATAAGAGCAATTTTGAGCATAAAACTACTACTAAAAATTTATCTAACTCAGACTAATGCAACAACTAGAGCAATCACATTCCTAAACTATACAAATGAGCCAACCAAATAATATATAATTATCAATAAAAAGAAGGCACTTCCCCAGAACTACACATAGAAAAACAACCAAGCAAGGAAACCAACTACTGTTATAAGAGCAACAACAATCACAATAGGCAAACTTTTTATTGCAATTATTTTGGATAAGATCATCTTTTATTTTTTTAATGTATATATGTTATGTGTGGGCTCTTTAATCTTATTCCTTAGTAGCTGCTCTCGTCCTTCTCCGCAGCTTTCGTCTCGTTATCCTCACCGTCTTACCCAATGCCTAGAGTGCTTTTAGGTGCTTCTGTTGTTCCCCTCGTCACATTCATCACCGTTTCCCCATTCTACTTGCAGTCAATTAAGATGTATCAATAGAAAGTTGGAAGTTTTACATACATGTCATTTAATTATGATATATTTACATATCTAACAACAAAACTTCAATTTTTACATATATATTAACTTACCTATACATGTGAACGTGTATTTTACTTTTTAAAAGATTGAATGATGGTATTTTTTACATGATATGAATGATTTATATTATATAGATAAAAAATGTAAAATTTTGGTTAGATACGTACATTCATATGAATTGGGCGGTATGTAATTACCCCTAAATGATTCAGATTCAATTAACGACATTAAAATGATCTTGAAGCACTCCTGATCACATCAATTGCATCGATTATATATAATATATTTCACGGCAAGGTGAAGAAATATTACATCAGTACTACCCACGTAAAAATAACGTGCGTAGCCAATCAAAACACGCCACGACATCTCGCACGGTAGAGAAAAAAAAACGGCGCAGTAACACGGAGAATATTCCCTCATGTGTTATTCATGTGTTATTGCGCGTTATTCATGTGTTATTGTGTGTTATTCATGTGTTATTGATGTGTTATTGTGTTATTATAACACCAAGAATATTTTCAGGATACAATAACACATGAATAACACACAATAACACTTGAATAACACGGGAAATATTCCCGACAGAGAAAAAAACGGCGCAGTAACACGGAGGAATATTCTCTCCCGTGTTATTCCTGTGTTATTGTGTGTTATTCATGTGTTATTCATGTGTTATTGTGTTATTATAACACCAGGAATATTCCCAGGATACAATAACACATGAATAACACACAATAACACATGAATAACACGAGGGGGAATATTCCCTGTATTACTGCGCCGTTTTTTTTCTGCGTCACGCGGGATATCGTGTCGTGATTTCATTGGGTACGCACGTTCCGCTACGTGCGTAGTACTGATGTAATATTTTAGGATCAGGTGTCATAACAAGAAAATAAAATTTTCTAAGTTAATGATAAATAACGCTTCCTAAGAAAAAATAACATAATCTAACAAAAACGTAATTAAAAAGTATTTTTTAAGATATAATTTAAATTTATATTATAAATAAAATGTATAGTGCAAGGAATTAGTGTAATAACTTTTTATCTTTTATTTGTGGAAGATATATAATGTGCATATTACACTGCATATGTAATCAAAGAATTGAGTAGTATAATGGAATTGAGAAAACAAGTGTCACAAATCATCTTCATTATCATGTTTACTGCTAGTAAACATATGCAACTGTGATTTGTTTTAGTGGTGTTATTGCGGCATTATTGAGGTGTTAATTGAGTGAAAAAATAACATCATGATAATACCTTAATAATAACATAACAATACTACAATAATACAACAATAATGCCATATAATATATAGTTATTGATACTTCCTTGGAGCATATATTAATTGTAATTTTAATAATTTTTTTTTGGCACTTGCTGTAACATGAGATGTGTATCTAAACTTTTATACTATTATAATATAAATTTCTACTTCGGAAGTATCAAATATATGATTATACTAACTTTATTATAAATAGAATTAATAAAAGGGGGCGGCTAGGCTAAGCTGTAGTTAATAAGCTGCGCCAATCAGACAATAAAATAAGAGCAATTTTAAAACTAAAACTACTACTAAAATTATGTCCACCTCGGGCTAACCCAACCTCTGCAACAACTAGACCAATCACATTCCTAATCCATACAATGAGCCAACGAAATAATCAACAACAAAAATTTACAGGCATCGCATAATTATTAATCAAAAGAAGGCACTTCCCGAGAACTACACATGGAAAAACAACCATGCAAGGAAACCTAGCTATTGTTATAAGAGTAACCACGACAATACAATCACAATAGGCAAACAACTTTTTATTGCAATTACTTTGGATTAAATCATCTTCTTTCATGTATACATGCTATGTGTGGGTTCTTTAGTCTTATTCCTTAGTTGCTCCCGCGTCTCTCTCCGCAGCATTCGTCTCCTTATCCTTGTCGTCATGCCCAATTCCTAAAGTGCTTTTAACTGCTTCTGCTGCTCCCCTCGTTGCATTCGTCGCCTTTTCGCCAGTCTGCTTGAAGTCAATTAAAATTTATCAAAGAAAAGTTGTAAGTTTTGACATATTTACATACCTAACATCAAAATTTCAATTTTTACATATATATACTACCTTATCGGTACATGAAAACGTGTATTTTATTTTTTAAAAATTTAAATGATGATGCTTGAAGTCAATTAAAATTTATCAAAGAAAAGTTGTAAGTTTTGACATATTTACATATCTAACATCAAAATTTCAATTTTTACATATATACTACCTTACTTGTACATGTAAAGGTGTATTTTATTTTTTAAACATTTGAATGATGATATTTTTGACATGATATGAATGATTTATATTATGTAAATAGAAAAAAGTAAAATTTTGGTTTGTCATGACATTCATAGAAGTTGGGCGGTATGTAATTACCCCTAGATTCAATTAACGACATTAAGATGATCTCGAAACACTTCTGATCATATCAATTGCACCGATTATATATAATATATTTCACAGCAAAATAGGATCAAGTGTTGTAACAATTAAATTTTCTAATTTAATCATGAATAACACCTCCTAAGAAAAAATAACATAATCAAGAGTTGATCATATTTAACAAAAACGTACTAAAAAAGCATTTTATAAGATAACATTTAATCGATGCATTGAAAGGCACATTTCACCTATTTTTTTAAAGGTGATACTTTTCAGATGTCAAAAAATTGAGTGGTGAAAATGTAATAAATAAAATTTAGATACCATATAAATTTAATAAAACAATACCTGCTGCAGAAAGCCAGCTGTCTTCTCCTTTCCCTCTATCGCATGATCCTTGGCCGTCTGCGCCTTCTCCTTGGCAGCCTCGGTGTTGACTGCTGCCTTAACTCTGGCTCGAGGGAGAGAGAAGAAGATATAGAACGACAGATTAGAAAGGGAGATGAAATGAGGGAGGGAGGGAGGGAGGGAGGGAGAGGAAGGGCGGGAGAGACCTCAGTACGGCCTTTGTCTTCGCCGGCGTGGTGGTCGGTCTGGTCATGAGACGCCATTGCTGCCTTATTTCTTTATTTTTTCTTAATTTTTTGCTTTGGTTAGATCGGTAATGATTGTAACGGTGAAGCGAGGGTGTTTTGTAGGGCGAGAGTCTAATGTCCGTGCGACACGTATGATAGCTGTATCGATCTGGCGACACGATCATGGGTACCTGTCACGAGGGGGTGGTGGGAGAAGGCGTCGTCTACAGTCAGCAGATAATCGATAGTATATTATTCCTATATACTATAAATTAGAAATTTTATTTTAAAATCATCTCCAAAGAAAATTTAAAATTTGCATCTTTTAGAAAAAGTCCTCCTTTCCTCGAAATAATTATACGAGTCCTCTACATAAATTTGAGATAAAAGGGTGCTTGATTTGAACCCACTCCCTTAAAAAATTTAAGATCTGTTTGGGATAGATGTTGATTATTTATGATTTGCTGATAAAAAGATTATTGTGATAATCTGATAATTTACAGATTATCTGATAAATTGATTTGTTATTTAAGGCAGCTTATTCAGAATAACATACTGACAGTTGTTGTTGGATAAATAATCATTTTGCCCATGTTTGGTTAGAATGTTTGCAACAGAACTGTATGAGGAAAATAATATATAGAACAGAAGTGTCAAACTATTACAGTCCAGTTATAAAAATTAAAATATGTTGCTCACCATTTAGTGAGTATCAAAAGAAATAAAATAAGGAGAAAGTTGTCTGTCCTCAGCAACACTGTCTTCTTGTGAAACCATCGTACCACAATCACTGTCGGCAGTGGAATATGTCGGAATGTCGGCCCAATAGAAGAAATTGCGTTGTGCTGAAACACCCCTCTAACAACCGTAGAACTGTCTCCCACTGCTATGAGGCTGACGTGACGTGAGTAAGGGAGCCAGTAGTTTGCAATAACACAACACAACTCGGGAGGTCCCTGAAATCCTAGAACTCATGCTGCTACTAAAATAAAACAACAAAAAAAAGATCCTTTCTCAGATCATAAAATTAAATTAAGTTTTATATATGAGAAATTGAATCGAAAAGAAACGAAAACCATATATAATGAAATTAACACAATTCTTAGTGGTATCATAAAATTCAAACTTATATTACAATCAAATACATAATAAATAAACACAGAGTTTAATAAATAAAGAACCGTGGTTCAATTAACATCCAGAAATAGAATCTGCAATAGACTCCCTTAAAGTAATCATCTCTGCTACACATTCACCGTCCTAAGTTCCAAATTCATTTGACTTGATCTCATCCTTAGGTAATGATAGCCCAACCAGAGATTCTCAAGGTTCTGAAGTGACTTGTAGCTAATCATCATCAACCAAAGTGAAGTCCGTATCTGATTGAGAGAGATGCTTTCGGATAAAGTTGTGAAGTGTCATAGTGGCCACTACAATATGCACCTATTTGGGAAATGGATAAGACGACATATTACATAGGATGACCCATTTCTTTTTCCACACCCCAAATGTCCTTTTAATTACCCCGTGTAAGGAGTAACGTTTGTTAAACATTTTTTTTCTGTCACATATCGTGTTACTTGCTCTCTCAAAATCATGAATGTGGCATCTGTTGTCCGGATAGGGCTTTAAGTAGCTCATCTGCATCGAATATCCAACATCAACCAAATAATATTTTCCTGTTACGAAAGATAATATTAATGACAAATAATACATATAAGTTGTAGTTTGCTTAATGGGATCCCAACCCAACCAGTAGATCAACGTTTGAGCTCCTTCCAAATTTTCTACTCTTTCTTTAACTGAACCATTTATATTTCAATTTCAGCCTGTCGTAATCCCTTCCCGTCAATTGTTTGAACCCTTTTACAATATTTTGCCAACCTTCCTTGTTAAAATATGTGGTTGGCCTATTTTCGATTTCAATTTCTGTAATAGAGAGATTGCAAAAAATATTCATAACATCCTTATTCCACATAGCTGACGGACCACCTTCATTCGTTTTAGCTATGTTGGAATTATATGAAGATTTTTTGGTTAAACAAAGGAACAACATAAAATCTCGTAAATGCATATATCTAGAAGTCATACTAAGCATAAAAAAAACCAACAGCTACAGCCGAATAGTATGCATTATTTTTGTCCAATTGAAGTACAAAGATAATTAACTTCTGCAACATAACTGAAATGGAAGGAATAAAGTAACGTACAAATGCATGCCACACTTTAACCACCCTGTTAAACATACAAAACAAGCATTTTACAGAGATCAAATTGTTGCAGCATGTTGACCTCACTTTTGGTTAATGTCGAGTCTTTCCTCTTTAGTAGCCTAAGGTCTAGCCATAGAACTTTTCTATTGAGTATTCCTAAAAGACTAGAAAAGGAGCTCTCACCATTAGAAATTCTAAACTCTTCTTTATTCAACTTAAAGTTTCACATGTTGGTCATAACCTCTTGCACTTAGTAGATGAGGTCAATATGGGGGAGCTCAATGAGAGTCCTCATATTGCTACTTGGCCTTAGGATTAACCCTTTGGTGGTGTGGTCTTGCTTGGTCTCACGGTCTCACGCACACACTTGTACATTACACTTCCACTCACTATCTTAAGCCCAAACCTGTTTAACTTTGATCCCTAAACCCTTTGGGAGACTCATGTAAATGGTCTCCTAGACCCATTAGCCCAAGGCTATGGTTTAGCTAGGACCACTGCATGGAGGACCCAAGGAAGAGGATTTTATTAGTCCATGGCTCAAGTAGGGTGATTGACATTCCAATTTTACCAAAATACCTAACTTAGCCTTTTGCTCATAAATTACCAAACTACCCTTGAAACCCTAAAATTCCCAAAATTAGCCAAAATACCCAACTTCGTTCAAAAATCATTTCAAACCATTTGAAACCACCCAAATTACCCAAAACACTCAAAAATTTTTAAAATTACCAAAATACCCATGGTGACCCGAATTGTCCCAAAACCATCAAAATCATTTCAAATATCTCCAAAATCAATTTGAATCACTCCATTTGGCTCAATTCGACCAATTTCACTTATTTTGACCAAAAGCCCAAAGATTTTGACCAAAAGCCCCAAATTGCCTTTAAAGGCCCAATTACCCCAATTCACCCCCAATGTCCACCAATTTGATCCCAATATTCCCCAATTTCAATTCTAAACACAAATTAATCATGCCCAAGTTTGATTAAAATCACATCCAATCCCAATTGACCCAAATTTGAATCCAATTTCAGCCCAAATCAAAAAGCCCCAATTGACCGAAAACCAAAATCTATCTCAATTGACCCCCAAATCTATCCAATTGACCCAATTTTGCATCATAAACTCTTTGCAAAATTTCCTCATATCAAATTGAACCTTCAATTGGCCTTTTTTAAGCTTCAACTTCACTAAAAATAAATTTGGACCAAAACCCCTAATATTGCCCCAAATTGGCCATGTCCCCAAATTCCACCAAATTGAACTCCATACCCCTAAAATTTCCACTCAATTTCTATCCAAAGCTCTTCATGGCAATCGTCCCAATCATCCACATCAAATTGAACCATCAATTGGGTCATAGCCAAACTCCAGCCCAAACCAAACTCAAGTTTAACCCAACATCCTCAAAATTGACCAAATGTCCAAATTTCACCAAGTTGAACCTCCAAATCAATTCAAAATTACTCCAAATCTTTTCTAAACTCCTTGTGACAATCATCTACACCAACCTAAACCCAACTTCAAGCCAAAATGTCCAAAATTGAACCCATGCACCAAAGTTGACCAAGCCAAGCCAAATTGATCAAACCAAAGCCACTACAAACACCATTTGGACTCTAGTGACCAGGCTAGACCCACCTAGCCCACTTTATATGAGCTATGGACCAATGGTCTCTTGATTTAGGGGATTTCACCCCATTTTGGGCCAAAAGAAAAATATCTTGCCCATCATCACTAACCATTAGTGGTTAACCATCATTAAACCTTCCACTGGCTTACCTGGCTGCCTAACCACCTCCTCTGTCCTGGCCAACCGACCTAGTGGCTGGAAAATTCCAAAACTGAGAGCCACCTCCCACAAATCTAAACCCAATGCCCCCCATCCAAGCTGTCCAACCCTGATTAGCCTCTAGCGATTGACATCCCTCCACCTCAGCTCCGTACTTATATATTCCCCCTCTATTTAAGCCACTGCATCCATGTCCAAAAAAGAGAGTTAACATATTTTCTTGGGGAAACTCTACCAATTTGTTCCCAGATCTCCTCCAAGACTCCCTAAGCTCATTGTAACCATCTCCTAGCCATTTCCCCCACAACCTTAGCTCAATTTTTCAGTTCAAAACCAGGACAAATTTTGGCCATCCTAAAAAATCCCCCAAACTTTAGATTGAACTACTCTTGAGCATCCCCAGAGTAAGAGAAGAAGACTCCCACTGAAATCCCCCTCTGTTGAGTTCTCTAAACCACTCATAGACTAAAGCCACACCCCCATTTCATTGAGCTTATAATTGGAGCTTGCCCTAGAGGAAACCAACAACACCCCCATTTCATTGAGCTTATAATTGGAGCTTGCACTAGAGGAAACCAACAAATCTAAGAGGTTTGTGGGACTCCACTGAAGTTTCCACAGGCCTCTGATTGAGGCCTCCCCTCTTAGACAAAGTATAAACCATTAACCCTAATTTTGTGCTCGGTTTCACCAATTGTGAAGAGAAGTTTAATTTCATAGCATTGTAACCATATAGATGTGTTCTCCTTGAGTAGATGAAGCCGTATGAACAAACCCCAAGTGATTTGGTTTAGTATCGAGTGAGATCTTAGGTCTAGAAGTTGGATAACTTTTGGGTTTGGTTAATTAGGGACGATGATGGAGAGCCATCCGATCGCGCGTGTATTGGATCAAGTCGGATGGATTGGTGCGTAAACAGTGGGCTGACTCAGCTGGCGATGCCCAATAAGGAGCTGATGCTTTCACGGTTCGGAGAGCTCTAAGGGCAAAATGGTCATTTTAGATTCCTAGCCTTAATCAAAATT